GATGAGCCGCGCTCGTTGCAGTTGGCGCATTCACGTACAGAAATACGTATTTACGAAATGGCCGATACTAATCGTGTGCATTAATGGCACGTATTAATCATTCGAATGTTCGAGGAAAGAGCTGAGGCTCCTTGCTCGGATTAATTAATCGCCGTGCGCTATTATTGGGCTCATATAGCCGAATTAGCCTTTGAGGTAATGGGATCGCGCCTGGTCTAACTATGGAACAATCGATCACCGAGAAGCGTAGAAAACTTTATTTTTAGACATTTTGCGACATAGCTTTAATGGAGTATTCCCCGCGAGAAGACAAACGACCGCTCGTGGAAGACCCTTCGCGCCCAAGTCGAGAACGGCCAATTTGATGTTTAACTAATAAGAATATTCTTCAATGTCGCCCAGCAGCAATCAACAACGTCAGTGTTTTCTTGGCCATATCTGGCATTTTTAATAATACAGAAAATTTATTGCGAAAAATATTACCTCAGCCAGGGTTTGAACCTGGGGACCTCCCTACACTCTAGGCGGGTGTCTCGCCAATTCGACCATTGAGGTAGATTTTTAAACCAAATGAGTAAATGTACAGGCTCCAAAAGTTTCAAAACTTGTCTCACTTATTTCTTTCAAATTCAATTTATTCGCCCACTATCTGATATTTGGCTCCCATAGCCTTTTATTTTTATTTGTTTCCTAGTTTTTTATTTTTTAATCTTGATTCAAGCAGAAGTTACGGAGGATTTTATCAGGGCGAAAGTGCACCTATAAACACAGCGTATTTAATAATTATTGCTCAATAAAATCGGACAATATTACTTTGCAATTAGCCGCCCTCGAAGCTTAAATTTGTGACCCAGGAACACTTCAGATTTCGTTGCGGTTTCGTTAATAATTTAGTCAGCCGATTCTGCATCGTGGCTCTTCCCGGAAACAAAAATTATCGCCTTTGTTTTCCCCGATTCGTCGCAATATCGACCAGACGCGAACGAGCAAATTGCCCCAATTCTCACGAAATTTTCCTTCTCCGTCGTTCGCGCCCAAGTGAAAACTGCGAAATCGATTGCGTGCAAATTGTTGCACCAGATAACGTAACGCTTCTGGAAGAATACCGATGACTCCCACTTCCGATTATTAAGTACAGCGAAAAACCGCTACAACTTGGAACAAAGATCGCGGTAAACCCGATGAATAACTGCTGTTGCACGGTGACGTAAGACCAATAGGTATTGCTATAAAATCGTTTCAAAATTTCGACAGATTTTCTCATTGAACCCAATACTCTCGAGAATATCTATTTCCTCGTTAAGACCAGGAATTGCCAACGAGATCGAATTCCTTCCTCCGTATCTCGTTAATTGTTTTCCTAGTTTTTGATTTCTTAATCTTGATTCAAGTAGAAATTACGGAGGATTTTAGGGCAAAGGTGCAGCTATAGACACAGCGTGTATTCAATAATTATCGCTCAATGAAATCGGGACGTTATAAAAAATTTCCGTCCTCTTGGAAAAGGTATCTCGTCGCGCAGGTGCATTCTCTCACGGCGTTTTCGCGCCGTAACAATGCGGTCCCGGCGGAATCTCCGGTACTTTTCCTCGACAGGTACTTTTCCTCGGCCGTTAACAGCATCAACCGTCTCGCCAGTTAACCCCGATCAATCGTGATTCGACCGTGATATATCACGACGAGGGGATCACCGAGGGAAAAGACCCAGGCGTACGAGCGGCGCCCGACTGCGTGCGCGGACTCGCGAGCGACGCGTGCGAGCGCAATCGACGTGTGCATGATGCACGTGCGAGCATTCGTGAGAGCTCGCGCCGCGTCGCGTCAGGGAGGCGCGAACGAGCCGGCACGGGTCAAGTTCACGACTATCGCCTTGATAACGACGTGACATCGGCAGTACTCGAACTTGGCAGATAAAGATGAGAGAAAGGGAGACTCGAGCCAGCGTCGCGCCGGCAAATCAGTAAACATTGGATAATGTGCGAACTGCGTGCGAACGCGCGATGCCACGCAGATGCAAATGTATACCTCGACGATTTTGAAATTAGCTGTCCGCTCTTTATCGCACCCTGAAGACCCGAGAGCCGACTTCGCCCGCGAGAATTTCAATGTATGTGTATAAAAAATGTAAATAAAGTCGCAGAATAAACAAGAAAAATATGTACATATATTAGCATCGAGAAGTGAAAATATATATATTATATCATCGGGGAATATCTGTTAACAGAGAATTAAGAGTTTCCTAAAATAGACTTCGTTGAGAATTCGTTGGGCAAGATACCGGATTCGCTCAAGAGCAGACAGTCGAAAGAAAATGCGCGACAACTACGGCATCCCGTAGAAACCGCGTCATATTATGATAACCATAATCTATTATTTCATATATATCTAAAAGAGTACATATGTGAAAGGTTCTTTTACATGACAATCTGTGTGACATAATCGTGAAAGACTTCGTCTCATAATAGAAGACGGAATATTGCACAATAAGAGAATTATTCTTCTCTAATTGCGTCTCGGGAAATGCGTGACATCTTGGATAATTAATTAAAACTCACATGGCAATCGTTATCGTGGACAGGCTTGCTTGCTGCGCCGAAGAACAAGCGGGATAAAAAAAAAATAATAATTTGCGATGCAGCGAATTGATATTCAACTAACTTGGGATAGTGCAGACCGCGCATATTCAATAAAGTGTTTTGCATCTTTCAATATCTCCGGTCAACACATGCAGACGAGATACTAAAACACCTTGCGACTTGCGATGGTAAACATGCGAATACACATGTGACGTATGTTTATGAAAAGTATTTTTTCATTGCATATTTGTCACGTTGTCTAACGTTCCGAGACTAGGAGTTTAAAATGTTGAAGAAACAAAATGCTTCTACGTTTATGCGACTTATTCCTTCGCGAGAAGCCACACGGTATCTCGATTCAGTTAATATAAAATTATATATACCGGTCAATATAAAATCAAATATAGTTAAATGTAACAGAATTCCTGTAATTTTAATTAAGCTACACGAATTTATTACATTTAATTACATTTGATTTTATGTTCACCAATATATTTAATTTTAAATTAACGGATCAAGATACTTCGTGTTACGGCGGAGAAAAGTTTTCCGTGCCTGATAAAAGCCACACTTCATAGTTTTATAAAAAAATAAAATATTCATTCTATCTATATTTGCATTTTTATCGCGATTCAGCATACAATTAAAACTCTTAGTGCGCAATTTTGCATTTTATCACAACAATATTTTCTCACCATCTTGGTCAATATATTCTCGTCTGCCATCTAAATTAATTTATATTACACTGTAAAAAAGTATGTAAAATTACGTACATAATGTCGCGATTACACTATTGACGGAAATGTACAAATTTATGTACTTTCAAAAAAATTTTTACTCTTTGTGTAAATACTTGTTTATACTTGATGACAAATTACAAAAAATTGAAAAATTTACACAATTAAAAGTAAGCAATTTACTTATATAAGGTAATAAATTTACTGACGTATGTAAATATACACCTTTAATAGATGGTCCCAATATTGCCCAGGATAATTGTAATTTTACACGCAAGTTTTGTACAGTAAACGAATGATTCGATACTGATCCCGCACTCAACGTTTTTAAATATGTTACGGGAATAGGGATTTATTCGAATTTTATGTATGCAGATTTTATCTGCGAATATTAATTAAACAGTACACGCAGAGAATTTTCTCTTAAAATTTATCCTGAAAATCATGTGATCATAGGACAACATGGCATTTTGAAGAACGTTATGAAAGGTTTTTGAAAGTTCACCGTACATTTTACTAACAAAATGTATACTAAGCATAATTATTAGTAAAATGCAATGGTAAAATTAGAAAAAACTCCTATAACATTCCTCGAAATGCCGCGTTGTCCATTACAATACTTTCAGGATAAATTTTAAAAGAAAATTCTCTCCGTGTAGACATTATTAAACAACGGGATACTTTTCGTAAGTCACTGTAAACGGCGTAATACTATGTTACTATTTATGCCAATCAATTTATTTAGATTTTATGAGCGATACGCAGATAATTGCATTAACAGAAAAGATTGCTGACACTCTGCCAGTGTCAACTTAAAATGCTCTACGCATTTTCCGGTGCGCGCTCATTCCTGACCTTCGTCCTCGCGGGAACAACATTGGAAATTTACCGGCAGAACTCGTCGTTTGAAGTTGTTAGGAAAGATTACTAACGCATTTTCGCATCAGCTACTTCAAATAGATAAAGAGGAGAAAACATTCCATTGCTTAAAGGAGCAGAGAATTGCGTGCGATAGGAAATTTTGTCTTCATAAAGAGCTTTCTCTTGGTAAAAGTCATCGAAAACACATTTAAAAAAAGGAATATCAAAAGGAATACAATACATCATGATGATGTATATAATGTATAAAGTATAGAAATTTCAATAGAAAAGATACATACGTTCATATTGGTTTATATAATCAATAGCATAAAAAAATATTTAAAAAACTACACAGAAAACTTGTACTAAAAACACATTTTTCATTAACAGATAACATAAAGATTAAATATTTGAAGATCTGTATAGATATAAAACACCATGATATTTTCCTTTGGCAAATTAATAATTTTTATTTGATCGTAAAATTTTTTAGCGCGTATTTAAAATCGTACGGTAATTCTGGATCTTAAGTATGAATGTTAGCAGAGGCGAAAAATCACGTAAAAATTGTACTTGTTTGCTTGACAAACCAATCAAATTTCCTTCACATCCGAGAGTTTATAAGCAAGAGCTTGCAGAAAAGCAACAAATGACTCTTGACGCATCCAAGTGCGCCGCGCGAACCTGCAAAGTGTTATAAATTTTGGATCAACGTCGCGCAGATCGCGCTGACGTAGGCGCGCTTAACAGCGGGAAATGGAAAACGAATGAATATGAATACCTTATCGGGATGCGTGGTTACTTTAGAGGTGCTTTGCATAGTGTGCTTTGCATAGTACGCAGTAGTAACGACAGCGAGATACACGGCTCTTGTTCGTTCCCCGCTAAAATATACGAGGAAAGTTCCCGCGATTACCCGAAATTTTCAATTCCACAGCGTGGCAACATCAAATCAAAAGCAAGCCTGACTGACTCTATCCAGACCTCGTTATTTCGAGAAAATGGTAAGATTTTTAAATTAAATATTTTAACGATATTCGATATGTCATATTCACCATATTCATACATAACAATTTATCTATGCCCAAGTTCTCAAACGTGATCTTTTGGAATGGACGATTTCTTTTTGCGGCAAATCTAAAAATAACGATTCTGCAAATTTTTGTCTATTACTTTTCATTCATATGCGATTCATTCTCGCTGATATTTTCATATAAGTGATCTTTTTGTTAATAGATGTACTTTCTCGTAAAGCAGAAATATCTATTCTGTTATGTAGTACATATGCTCCAGTCCTGCAACATGACTGTTTTATAACAAAAAGTCGAAACTAAACGTTGTCAATGACACTTTTTCAGTTTAAGCTTTTTATTATCTTGCAGTAAACCGATTTATCGCTCATACAGACAATGTTTCAATGTGTTTTTGTTCTGCACGTGCTATTATTATAAGTTAGAATCATCGAACCTGAACATCATTCTTTCCTAAAAATGCTGTGAACCAGAACTTTTTGCGTTAAATAAATTATGTCGTAATATGGTCAATCAATAACACTCACGTGTAACATCTATCATGTGTAACTAAATTTAAAAAAATTTTTAATATATTTTTATTTCTCCCATTGTTCTTATTATTTATATTTCCGCAATTAACTTTGCAATTATTTTGATACCCCAAAAATATTTTCTCAACTAAACGCCTAATTTTTTCGATGCACTTTCTATTCTTTCTTTACATAAATTTCACTTAATATCAATATTAATATACAACAGGAAACGAGAAATAAGTGCACGGAGAAAATTTACTCTTAAAATTTATCCGAAAAATCATGTAATCGTGAGACAACATGGCATTTACAAGAATTTCTAAAAACTCTCATAAAATTCTTCGACATGACATAATTTTCATGGTAAATTTTGACAGAAAATTCTCTCCGTGTATATTTAATAAGATGTAAGATGCACTCACCGAAACACGAACGTTCGATAAACGCATGGCATTCGAAACAATACGGTATGATACGAATCGTAAATGGAATTGATTAGAGCGAGCTGCATTTAATCTTTGAGTGGAATCGTTCCAAAAGTGGGGTGGGTGTTACTTCAAGACCTTCGATTTGCGCTCTTGAGAGCCCATTCTTGTTAATATAAAACGTCACTGAACTCTGAATACACATCATTGTTCGCAGCGATGCAGCAGCGTATTTAGTGCAAACGTAAAATAATATTTGTAACAATAGAACAAATGGTATACACAAACATATAGAACGTTGTGTGCACAGCAAGAAAATGATATTTGTTTGATACACATGAATCGATTAATCTGCACGACAATTTTAATTATCTCATTTTATTTTAATATTTGAATTATTAAAAGCAAAGATTCCGCCCGAACGTACAAGATATATTTCTATTACTCGTGTTATTTACATAGTTCACGTACTATTATTTAAAATATTCGATATTATATTTCGGCAAAGTCAGGCGACAATCCAGATTGCAAATTCCTTATTATATATTTTTGTAGTAATAGAAATAACCTCTTGTTTATTTAATGATAATGTACAAGTTGCAAAACTGCAAGTAACCAGCAGTTAATTTGCATATAGGCGGTACATAAGTGAGTTATCGAGGGGTCAATCACTTTCTTTTCTCAAGCATAACCGATCAAAATTTATATGGGCCATAAACCTGTCTTAAATACTGCTAACAGAGGTGGATAATGATCGTACATTCTTGAGAGACAGGAGGTAATGTGCAATATTTCCGATAAAAGTAGATCAATCGATTATTTCCATGCTAATAAATTACGATCGACAGGTGCAATTGCAATGCGAACGGAAAATTATTAAAATTGCGATCCATGAAACACGAAAAAATAAGAGCTTTACAGGTATATCTATATTTCTTAATTATCTTTTTATCCATTTAAGTCCCCTTTCATCCATTGGTTTTATCCATTTCAATGTCTGTTGCCTTGATTTTAAAATCGAGGTAATAAAAGTTGAATTATAAATAAAATGATTAACGATCACAATTTAAAAAGTCGAGGTATTAGTAAATATTTAGCGTCTAAGTCTCAATACTTAAGACTTGAATGACCGAGAAGTGTACTTATTTTTTGCCTACATAAGAAGTTAAAGATTATGCGCACTCATGACATTTGCAATTAGTCACTCGTTTATCTTTCAGAAGCGCAAATAAATAGCAAAATTATATTCCTCATTTACCTTTAAAGTAGAATTTATTTTGTGAAAAATTATAACTTGAGAGCTGGTAAGAAGAATATTAAAATATTAAGAACTGTTTATTACTCTTTAACGAGAAGATGTAATCAAGACAATTGTCAAAAATAATATTCTCTCACGCATTCTTCAGTTTTCCATAGCGTAATAAAAATCGCACGCGCGATTATTGAAATTACAATTTATGCCGGATACAATTGTTGACACATTCTTTTCTACTTTTATCAATAACATTCGGTTGCGGAAGTCTTTATCGTTAGTCATCATTAATGACAGATCAAAATTTCGTAATGACGAGACGTCTGAAGCATTGATTAGCGCGATGACTTATCGTGCAAAGTCCATGTCCGACGAACACAAACGTAAGATATTTGACTTGTAGTATTAATAAAAAAAGCATTGACTCCGTAATGAGCAAGATAAAAATAGAGATATGAAGTACGGGTATGTATAACATATAAAAAATTGTATACAGGGTGTTCCAGGGGGAAAGGTCAATATTCTGGGAGGCGATAGTATCGGTCATTTTAAGCAAAAATGTTCATACGAATATACGTCCCGTTCCCCACCGTTCCCGAGATAGAGCTATTTGAACGTCTCGTGTATTTACTTGTTTTCTGTACACTTCACCCTTTATCCAACCTCATAAACGTCTGCGGGAATTTACTCTTCTACGTCTGTTGACTGCTGTGCTGATAACATTGTAAAAGTGTTCAAAATGCCTCGCGTATTCACAAATGTCGAATATGCAGATATGCTGTATGTTTACGGTTTCTGTGATGTAGTGCAACTGCTGCTGTTGAATACCGTCGACGCTTTTCTACACGCAGAATTCCGAATCGTAAAGTGTTTCCCCAAGGTTTTTAATACATTGCGTAAAAGTGGAACGTTTCCTAGCGTTCATATTTTATCTGTACGAGGACGTCAACAAAATGTGCTCTATCTCGGAAACAGTGGGGAATGGGACATATTTTCATATATTAAACAATTTTTGCTTAAAATGACCTATCAACTCCCAGAATATTGACCCTTTCTCCTGAAAAACACCCTGTATATGTGAGAGAGATATATATACAGGGTGAGTCTTTCCATATCCGACAAAATTTTTGAGAAGGTAGAACGGATCGAGATGAACGGAAAAGTCCTGTACCATTTTACAATTTTCGTAATAGTTAACGAGTAATTAATTATTAAAAATCATTGTCTTAGGCCGGCCTACCGCCCAATTCT